ATAATGTCTTTTGTTTTTTCAAATTATTGGATCATTTTTCTAAAAAAAAAAAAATGTTTCTGCGGCGGCAGACCTACCTTCTGACCCAAAAAAATATAAAAAAATCCAACACTTAAAAAAAACAACCCTTAAAAACATCCAATAAGCTTAAACTAATTGAAACATCCAAGAATTTTCCTTTTTTTCAAAAATAAAATAAAATATAAATCATCTTTCCATTCAGAAAAAAAAAAAGCAAGCAAGAATACATAATAACCTAAATCTAACAGAAACAAAGAAAAAACATGGAAAATTTTTGAACTTTGAAAGCAAAAGAGAGAAAGCGAGAGAATGTGAACCTGCCAAGAGCCTTAGCGACTAGCGAGGGTTTGAATGTAGCAATCGATCATCTGCTGCTTGGTGGCACCTTCGTCGCCGGGTTTTTGCTTGGTGGCGGTTGAAAGGAGGCGGCGGGTAAGGAGGAGAGAGAAACGAAGTGAAGAGAGAGAAAGAGCTCTTGCCATGGTTACTACCATTACGAATGAGATTTACTTCACTGTGGTGTATGGAGTTTGGAGTTTATTATTGATACTGATCCTATTAGGGTTTTTGAAGATTTACCGAGTCCTATTAGGTTTATGAATATTTGTCTTGTCTAAGTATCATGACAATATAGAAAAAGTTAGTTAAGTTAGGGTTTTACGTGATCAAATATAGGGGTGATAATAACGCCAGGAGCCTTAGGCCCGGCCCGTTTCGACTCGGCTCGGTTCGTCTTTTTTTATTATAAGCCCAGACTTATACTCATGCAAAAGCCTTTTTATTTAAAAGGCCTCAGGCTTCCATAGTCAAGCCTGGCCTTAAAGTCTCGGAGGCTGGCCCGTATACATTAAATTTATTTACTTTTTATATTTTTATATTAATCATTTCAACATCCTTTTCTCAGTTTTCTGTCTCTGCTCTATCTTTTCTCCCCAATCTAAGTCATCGTCCCACCAACAGGTAAATGAAGTCATGTTCATCATCTATTTTTATAAACCATGCGGATTCCACGGCTTATAATGATGCTTATGGCGGCAACCGTGGAAGAAAATTTAATGTAAAATATGGAAGAAAATTTATTGGTGGGGTTCAAATCTAGTGTAAAAAATCTAGAATATTAAGGAATGTGGAAGAAAATTAAGGAAAAGCAACATAAAATAAAGTAAAGGTGTTGTTGTTATTTTGATTTTTTAATATTAATTTTTTTTTATTATAAAAGAAACAACTATTATTTTCTTACAAAAAAAAAAACATATCAGTGCATGATTAATGGGCTAAATACTGCTACGAATTGGAAGGTAAGGTTTTTATTTTTAATAAATAAATAGGCCACAGGCTTGAGACATGCTTTTATTTTTTGTAAACGAACCAGGCCACAGGCTAATATTATATTCGTAACATGTAACAGGCTAAGGCCAGTCTGACACGTTTAAATACAGGCTTGGCCCGTTAAGATTAAAGCTCGGCTCGGCTCGGTCCGTTAACACCCCTAATCAAATACTTATCACCAGGGGTGTTAACGGGCCGAACCGAGTCGAGCTCTGGTCTGTCTTAAAAGGTTAGTCTGTGTTTAGTCGTGTCAGCCTGACAAAGCCTGTTACCTATTATGAATATAATTATCGTCTTGTGGCCTGACTTATTTACAAAAAAATAAAAGTCTGGTTTAGTGTGTTAGTCTGTTTTAAAAAATAAGACAACAAAAATTTATCCAAACAAAATACATGAATATACAATCAACAGACTAGTAATTCCATAAGTATTCATAAATTCAATATATATTCAAACAACATAATATAGAACAAAGTCATTCAAATAATATGTTAAACCAATAAAATAAGGGCCTTTTTTATTAAACGACCTTTTATACAAGTCTAAGCCTGGTTCTTACAATCAATTTTAGACATATAAGTTTAGGCCTTCACGAGCCGAGCCGAAAGCCCCTGAAAGGCGCCTGATTCATTTAACATCCCTACTTATCATCAATTTTAGAAGAGAATATAAAATTATTTTTTCTGTGTGTTTGTGGAATAGAATTTAGTTATGTCTATTACAAAGAAATGCAAGCAGTAACTTTATAACATAAGACAAATTAATTAATTTTAAAAAAAATTATGCGTATATCAAGAGTATTTGAATTTTTTTTCTCCCAAAAATTCCTAATATTTTTTTTAAAAAAATAACCTTATTGTAATTGTACATTTGAAGAAGCCATTGGGCAGAGTGATCCTCTAGAACCTTTGGGTTACTGAGATATATTCGTATATCTCACCCCGCGTTATGGGGCTATGTTTCAAGTTCATGTAGCGGTGCAGGAGTGTTGGGCAAGAGGCCCAGAAGATGACGTGGATTAGAGCCATTGGAGTATGCCATGACATTTGGCATATTTTGCATTTTGGGATTTTATTTAGCATGCTAGACTTAGTGCATGAACATGTTGTATTGCATGAGTGATGTATACTATGCCTTGTTGTTCATGTAATATTTTGGGGCTAAGTCTAGTGATGATGTATGTAATATTATTTTGGGGCATAATGATGTAATAATTTATTTGGCAGTAGATTAAATGTAATTGATGTATTAAGGATCTTTTGTAATTATTTATCAATGTATGTGATGGAAGGGAAATAGGTCTGTTCTAGGTTATGATATTTTTAACTATGTTAAATGCATGTAATTGAATCATGTGATTGAAATGAGTATCAAGTTGTAAAATGATTAAGTGATGGATAATAATTGTGGATTAAATAAGGAATTGAGCAAATGATGTTGTGGGTTGTAAGAGCACCAAGGTATGTTGAACCTTGTGTGCCACCCTTGGTCAATAAGGTACAATTTGGAGGATTAGAACACACCTGGAGTAAGTGAGATTGGTTAATAAAGCAGATGAGATGCCGCCAAAATTTCTAAGAAAATGATCAGTTTTTGGACCAACTTTGAGAGACCATATCTGTAAGAACCCGCACCGTTAAATTAGAAATTTTAGTAAATTAATTATGAGTTTAAGAAATAATTCCATAGATGACGTCGAATAGATATGGGAAGAATTAAATAATTATTATAAGGGCTTAATAACGCTGAAAGTCGCTTTTCTAACCAAAAAGTGCAGATACTGATTCTGCTTTATGGTATAAATGCGTACCGATGAAGTATCCCGAAAATTATAATAAGTACATGAATATTCTAAGAAAAATAAGTACAATTACTCTTACGTACACAATGAATAACTGATAACTAACTAAGCTCAGCTAGATAGGTGGGATCGGTTAGCTATTCTTTCACATACCTTCAAGCTCCAAGCTATCTATAGAAGAACAGGGACACGAACTTGTGTCAAAATTATCAAGTGAACGAGGTAGACCAGCCGATGTCACTCTATTCAACCTAATGTCTCTTGGAATTGTATCCCAAACTCCATAACTGATCAACTGCATGTCGTCAGGGTGATATATCTCCACCTAGTTGTCTGTAGATTTGTGCATCTTTCAACGGTGGAAAGATGTGGGCTCCAGTCGGATATAGTCCATGTCAGGACCAAGCATCAAAGATAATGTTCGTTAACATATAGAAGCCTAGGTTGGATAGGAGCAAAATAGGACTCGACTTGCAGAATTAGGATTTGGAGAAAATCATAATAAATAAAAGTTGTGGAAAATACTTGAAGATGAAGTTTTGGAGAAATAGAAACTTGCAAGAAACTCAAAGACTAGAGTGGTTGAAGACGAACAATATGAGAAAGCTTAAAGGCCTTGAAGTTTAGAGAAGATTTAATGACGAAAGAAGATGAGAGAAATGTAGAAGCAAACCAGTTGAACCAATAATGAAAAGGCGAAAGGTTTCTGAAGAATATAAAGAGGCTTTTGATAAATTTCCCTAGAGGAAGAACACAAGAATTTCCAAGAAATAAAAGTGTATAGAATAAAAGGTTGCATAATGCATACTACATAAAGACATTTTGGAGGGGAAAGAAAGGAAAATCAAGACTGTTAAATCGAAAGATAATTCAAACAAAATAACTTGGATCAAATGGTGTTTGCAATATTTTAAAGAAAAAATAACTTTTCACACAGCCTTTAAATGTCCCTACAAAGTTTTGTACGAGGATATTCTAACTATCAAAAACTCTTACTACTAACTTACTACTAATCACATCACCATTGGATCAAAGAGAGGGAGAATGTTAAAAAGTTTTTGAAGAGAGAGAAAATGTTAATCTAATGGTGATTAGATAAGTAATAAGTTAGTAGTATAAAATTTTGGTAGTTAAAATATTCCTCCTCCCATAAAAAATGCTCATAATGGGAAAACAAGAAATGTTCCTTGAGCACAAAAAGACGCGTGACACATGGCCAATCACATAATGATTGGTCTTGTGCAAACATATTTGGTTACAAAACTTCCGTAAACTTATCGAGTGGATACTCTCATAATTTATTTATCATGATATAATCATGTGAAAAAATCAAAATTATACAAAAGGCAAATCAATGGTAAAAAAAAAAAGAGAAAGAAAAAATATTGAGATAGATAATTACAAAATTATAACCTTTAATTCACCTATATCTGATTGTAATTTCCCTGCATATCCATGTCATGTTAAATAAAATACGAGAGGATCTATTTTCAACCTTATTAGTCTCTTGGATTGACAAAAATCTATTAGAAAATGCAAGTAAATTTAATAGGAAAAGTTTTATATACGTAGAATTCCGACATATTTTAGACAACGCTACAAGATTTCTTTTTCATAAATAAATGATATCACACTATCCCAAAATAAGACTCCTGTAAAATAGGATTGCTTATGTACTAAAAAACTATAAATAATAATATCCTTTTCAAAATACACAAGTAAAAATGTAACAACGCTTGAATTTTAGTAAGTTAAAATCATAACGTACTTAAAATTAAACCAATAACCAAGAAACGCTTACTTATGAATTTAAAGATAAACTCACTTTAAAAGTTTAAACAAGTTCTTTTTCAAGTGTCCCCAATTAAACTTAACATATATTTTCTATCACAAGCATATCACATTTTCCTACACACGGGCCAGGATAAAGATTGACACAATGAATATAATTTATGTTTATTTGACTTACACCACCAAGCATAATACAAGCTTCTCCATCTTAAGTATCTCACATGAGAAGTGCCATGAAACCTCCAAAGCCATAAACAATTGTCTAAATGGCCATGGTTGGCTACTTTTATTTTAAAGCTTAACACTTTATTTTTTTCCTTCCAATTTCTCCACATACAACACAAAATAGCAGTGATCAAATACAGCTTGCAGTGCTACAAAACACGGGTAAGATAGGAATCTGCTTGTGCAGGAAGATGAGCATTGAAGATTTTGGCGTATGAAAATCCTCACTGATTTCCCAGTGGCCTTGTTCTTGAAACCATGTGCTCTGATTTCTGTTACACAATGAAAAAATTTTGACACAAAATTTAGGTGAAGGACAGGAACATAGTGCATAACAATTTCTCCAATCTTTAACTACTAACTATTTAGAGTAATATCCTCCAAAATCAGGTTATCCTAACTACTATATCTAACAATATCAATTGACATCAAGTAACTCTATCTACTATATCTAATAATATCAATTAACTCTAAATATTATTGATATGGCTTAGCCCAACTAGATCATTGGACCCATCTTTATTTCTTCTCACATTTACCTTCCCACTTGGGGCTGCTACTAATAAGTAACAATATATTTTTAATCAACATATCTTTTCGGACTTTTCATTTGGGTTCATCTGCCTCCAATCTCAACTAGTTTGGGATAAAGGTGTTATTGATATTTTTAATCAACATGGCTGCAGACTTTTAGCAATTTTCTATTTCAGCTACCTACTATCATCAAGTATTAGCATATTTTTTCTTTTTCATTCCTTCTATTGACTATTGTTCTCTGCAACAAAATGTAACTGAGAAAAAAAGGAATAACAAGAAACAGACCTGCTCCGTATGTGGCAAATATTTCCCATCAAAAGTCAGTAACACGCGATCCTTCCCATCAACTCCTTTAACTTTGTCAACTGAGCAGTAGAAATCTATAGCTGACATGCTAAATATGAAATGAACAAATGAATAATGAGAAAGAAAATCCATATTTGAGCATTTATGCCATTTGTTAGGCATGGCATGTTCTATCACCTGTAATGCCAATCTCAAAATCTTTTAAAAATATAATTACTGTCAAAATCACTTTAACCAGAAGCATAATAATTTCATTTGGATATGCATAAAAGGACCTATTTGTTTCCTGAGATATTCTAAGCTCCTTAAAGTAATAAATAATGTTCCATTATAGAGGTTGGAAAGTAAAGACAGTAAGAGAGAGAGTTGCAGGTGGTAATTTTTAGGATCTTCCAATGTGAAAACTCAAAATGTATTCATTTCCCTTTTCTTTTTCGCATTTTTTTGGCAAAATGGAGGGAAATGAGAAAGCAGGGCCTTCATTAGTAAAGGCGAAAGAATAGTTCGCACTATGCTCACCACACAGCTCCCTCCATTATGAGCTATTTGAATTTGAATGTAGATATTTGTCACCTTTTAAATGATTGGATCATATTTAATTCGACAGTAGATGCATTTGTTAGAGAGATATAAAATTATTGATGTAGCCTCACCAATGACTTAAGATTTTGGGTTGAATTAGTTCTAACCAATTCAACTCAAAATCTTAAGGCATTGGGTGAGGCTACATTAATGATTTTATATCTCTTCAACAGCATTTTATGCCATGCTTAACATTGAATCATGAATCTTATGATTCACAATTTGGAAAACTGGCTTTAGGATCGGTGACTTGGTAACGATAAAATAATCTTTCTAATCATGAGAATAACCCGCCAAGATAGATTTAAGAGAGCAAGAGACCAACTTGCAGACATATGAACAGACACCCTGGACAAAACAAGTAGTAACTAACATTCTAGCGGGAAGAGAAAATAAAAGATTGAGTACGAAATAGCAGAAAGTAAGGAATCTGACCATTTAGAACAGATAGAGGCCTACAATTGACCCAAAAATGTTTATAACATGTGAAATATTAAAATGCAGAACACCATTCTAACTTATAGGCATGGTGAGTACGGAAGAAATCAACAATACTTAGCCATAATGAAAACATTGAGCTCCCTTTTGATTGCTTGATGCAAGCAATGTATACACCTCAACTATGGGCAGCTAGTTGACATTCTATCTTTGGTGCTAATGTATATTGTAGAGAAAGGGACTACATCCTACTACTAAACTCCGTCAATCATAATGATTTGCAGAATCCTTATAGACATGATACATCACTGTCCACTAACTGTCACAGCCAAAAAACTTTTTTAAAACAATACTGATCTGAAGTGGATCTGAGAATGGAGTGTCAACCCACAAGAGGAGATGAAATACTCACATACTCAAGTATAGAGAACCAGAGTTTAGCTAGCTTAGATGGGTGGTGCAAACGACGGACTAAGCCAAGTAGAGGGGAGGTGTGTGTGTTGTTGGGTCGGTCACTAAGGATTTAGTGCAAGAGCTTGGCAACTATGGTGAGGCAGCATAAAGGTCCTTCTGCTTAGGAAGGACGGATGGTGGAAGATTCCCCTTGTGTACGAAGTGTGACCTCAAAACAGAGACCTCATCCAGAACAAGTTCGATGCTTTATTTATGATTTCATATTGTTCGAACTCAGTACGATTACCTATCAGTATTACCTTGTCTACAGGTTGTAGCACAACAGAGACTTCTCACATTTTTTGCTTCTTCACATTCTAATAAATTATAGCTACTCTAAATCTTCCTTCATGTAACTTTTTTTGCCTTCCTCTATAATTTGAGACAGAAAACATGATATGCTGAAAGCAAGGTGTTGGTTAAGGATTATGCAAGATCTTGACAAATCTTTGTGACTAGTCCCTCATTCAAAAATCAATCATAAAAACCTGGTCTTACAATCATAAGATCAAGGGAATAATCACAGAAATTGGAAAATTAAGGCTGAAAATTTCAGAAAATTAGGATGTCCCTCGTCTGAAATCCTCCAACAAAGCCATCAATCAACTCCCTTTAATCTCAAATCTCTTTATAATATGATATTTCCCCTGATTTAGAAGACAGGATCTCTAGGTCTTTGACTTATAGTATGCAAGAGGTTTTGAAATGTTATCCATCCAATGAGACTTAAGGCCTAGATTATTGCCCTACTATTTCTTCTTCGGACAGATGTGTTTTGTTTTCTAGGAGAAGACAAAATCAGAAAACTTGATTACTTCAGTCTTCTTGAAAAATTAAGAAAAAAGGAAATTATGCCATAAATATGCATAGATATTATATACATAACCCTAAATGTCCAGACATCCCAGCATCCTGAGAATAATTTGTCAGTGTTTTGAAGTAATAAATCTTCAATTATTGATGATTACAAATGTTGGGCCCGTGATTGCAACTGAGATAATCAAAATCATTGTAATATCTATACAGAATGTACTATGAATTGAAGATTCATTCTGAACACTTGGATGCTGCAGCTTGCCCCAAGTTGCATAACATAGATGTCATGTTTTATCACCTAGCCTCAATATGTTTAGTGCACATTTTGGTTCATAGCTTAAGAACATACAAGATGCATAACCTACTGCAAGATCAGAAAATAAAACTAGGCTTTACCAGCGAGAATTTATATTTGATGGAGACAGAGAAATTTAAATTTGGATATACACCGAGTATTAAAAAATGTTAACATTTCCTCAAACCAATATACCTTTCAGAGCAGAATGATCAAGCAAATAAGATACAATCACATAGCATTCTCAACACAAGTAATCGCAAGAAACACATCAAACAAATCTATTTTGAGCATGTAGGAGAAATTCTTCAGTATATAAATCAAAACTTACATCCCATCACCAAACTCCTCATTGATTATTTCTTTGATGCTCTCCCCAAAATGCATTACAGCTTCATTCAACCTATGAAATAGAAGATCAGCATAACCCAACAAATTAAGTATCCAAAAATGGCAGTTGATATCATATTATACGTTATGCACAGCATATTCCCAGCATTAGAATCCACAATACACATTATAACAGAACCATTATGCACATGTCAACCACTTTTGATTCATTAGGGTATGTCCTAAATTACTTAGATTGACATAAACATTTTTTAGAAAACAGAAGTAGGTCTACTTCAAGACATCCATGACAATAAAAAATGACATTTGACAGCTTTCACTGAGAAGCTTACATCTATAACATCTTAACAATAATTCATCAAGATGTCATGTTTAATCAAGACAACCAGCCATAACCATTTCAACAGATGCATGTCTACTTCACAAGAGGCTGAAACATACCATTTTCCATCTAAAAATCACATCTTGACTGACTTTACAACAAAAAAGTCACACCCCATAAACCCCTGACATTTTTTTAAGAGACCTTTATCAAAGAGACTATTTTCTGGATTTGAATCAGTATACAAAGTTTTTACACTATCATTGAATCAATTGTATGAGCAAGGTTGTTCCTCGTTACCGCGGGTTCAGAGTATGAAAAACAGTCTCTTCCCAAAAATACAAGGATAAGATCGTGTATAATCAGTAGTAGACATATTATTAAGAACCATAAGTTAACAATGGATCATAATTATACTCTAACCTGACATACCCATTTCACCTCAGACAACATGTTCACAAATTCACATACAAAAATCAATCTTTTTACATAGAAAATAGAGAATAGCTACATAATTTTGATATTAAAAAAGAAAATCTAAAGTGGGGTATGTGAAGAAGGGAGAATGAAAGGCACCTGTAAACAGTGGGATCTTGGATGAGATTAGGGTCATAAGATCTCAAAGGGGGTCTCATCATTTCATAGACAAGTTCATCGGGCAGGTCGGGCAGCGCTGCCCGCAGTTTTGGGACAGTGTCAGTTTTGAGTTGAGCTTGTCTCCTGAGAAGCTGGGCAACATAGACGTTGGTAAGTCCTGTCTCCTCTGCTAACTGACTGTACGATTTACCTGAATTGTGTTTCACAGTTTGAAGTCGTGCGGTTATGCTTACTTTGTTCTGCTCCATCTTTGTGCGAAGATGATACAAGACAGAGTGTACTACTCAACTTTAGATTTTGTAACAAGTGCCACAACCAATGCAATGGTAGGAAACCACACCTTCATATAGGCCAAATAATGTTGGCTTATTATTAATGTTATTATTATGGAAAAATATTTATCTTTTAGAATAATATAATTTATATCATTTTATTTTTATAAAAAAGTGGGACTCAAATAACTTTTTTTTGTTTACTTTCTCTTTCATTATTTATTTTTTTCTCTCACTTAAAATAATACAACTTTACCTCATTTAAAATGACACACACTTTTTCTTTGTTATTATGAGTTTATTATTTCGGCTTTTCATATAAAATAATAATAATTTCATTGTACTCTCATAAAAGTAAGTGGGTCTCATTATATCTTATTAATTTTTTCTCTATCTTCTCGTTATAATGAGTCCCACTTATTTTTATGTAAGTGTGATAAAAAAGATTTCTGCAGCAGAAATATTTTTCTCTATTATTTTAGAGATAGTTTATACTTACTACATTTTTTTTACCAATTTTTACTATTAATTTTGTTATCGTTGGATCAAAATTAAATTAACGGTTACAAAATAACATCAAGTGAAAGCCATTGATTTGATTTTGATCTAATAATAATAAGATTGATAGTAAGAAGTGGTAAAAAAAAAAAAACTAGTAAATATAATATTCCCTTATTATTATTATAAAATCGATAAAAGAAAATAAAATACGAAAGTGTTATAAATACAAAAAAAGTTTGTCCTCATGTTCATAAAAGGAGATGAGAAGGAGGCTTTTTATAATGATGCTATTTTTTTTATTTTTTTGGTAGATATGGTGTTTTTGTTTCTTCACGAAGCATTACCACCGTTCATTTTCATTTGATTAAAATTAAATTAAATTAATTATTAATCCATTTCATGTTGTGTTTTAAAACTCTGATCGATCATAAACTCAATCGAGGTACTGGGTCACTGGTTTAATCGAATATAATATTCACATATTAAAATATATAAATATATGATTTATATTAAATATTCACAGAAAAAAAAGTATTAATAATAGAAACTTCCCCATATTGATGAATAAAGCGGCGATCCATTATGCAGCAAGCAAAGGATACCCATATCACAAGAAATAATGTTTCAAGCTTATTGCGTTATACCACAAAAAGACAAAAAAAATTCTAGTTTTCATTGCTTAAGGCCAAAGTTTATGTAGGGGTTTATCTAATCAACTATTCCATGTTGTAGGCTTTCAAACAAATGATGAGGTGCATCTAGGGTGTAAATAGGCTAGACTGGGCTGAGCTTCGACTTAAATAGGCTAAGTTTGTGTAAAAAATAAAATAAAAAATATTGAATCTGGCCTGGCCTGTTAGACTGAGTAGGCTCCAAATTACAAGTCTGCTTTGATCTATATTTAAAAAAAAAAATCTTGGCCTAGGCCTGTTAGCCTGTTTAAACCTATTAAATATTCAACAATTAAAAGAATAACTAAAATAATATTACTTTATTATTCAAATTTATTAAAATAATATTTTATTTATTTTATTTAAAATAAATAATATGATATATGCTGGCCTGTAGGTTTATAGGTCCGATATGTACAAAAAAGCCTATGGTCTATTTTCTAAATAGATTTTTTTTAAAAGCCTAGGTCTGTTCTATTTTACTATTTGTAAGATTCTAAGTCTGGCCTAATATAAATTAGGTCGTAGACTCCTGTAGACCGGCCTAACCCATTTACACCCGTAAGTGCACCACATTGATAAAAGAAAAAGGTCCGATAACACCCTTATAGCTACAAGAGAAACAACCATAGTCGTTTTTAACCAACAATAAAAATGCCAAACTCCTTATCATCAACATCAAAGAAAATGCAAGCAATAATTTCAAACAAACTAAAACAAAGTAGCGCAAGATTTATAACTTGAGAACTGAAATATATATATATATATATATATATATATATATATAAAGGTTGATTGTGACTAGTCCAAATCAGGTTTCGTATACTGTAAGAACCTGCACTGTTAAATTATAATTTTAGAAATTAAATAATAATTAAATGTAAGATTTTATTATTTTAATTAATTTAAGCTTAAGCACCGTTTTGAGAAAAAGGTAAATGTTATGTGTTTCGCAGTAAAAATGTAGTGAGAAGAATTACCCGAAACTTAAAGATAATTAATAATTATTATTCCATGAATTTTGGGGAGTTAAGATAACTACAAAATGTTTATGGTAATATTAGTATGAAATATTAATTATTGGAATTTAGTCTTTTTTGATGAAAAATGTTGATACTGCGGGTACCGCGGTAGAAACGGCGGGAATAGAAAAATACTCGAAAATAAAAATAAATTATAGATTTATGCATCATAAAATTTATAAGACACTGTGGTCCATAAAATTACAGAGAACTAAGTGAGTTGAGCATAGAAGTCGATACCAGGTGTATTAAGTCTGTCTAGTTTAAATAACCTAAACCTAGTCACTCAGTCTCATTTTCTTACTTCCCTATGTAGACACCTCATTCTCTCACACCCACATTGCTGCCATTTGCTTTCCTCCATGGTTCCATTGCTTTCTCTCTATGAAAAACCACCAAGACACCTCATTTTTGCATCATTTGATCATCTCAACCTTGTAAACACTAGATATTAGTGAGGATTGAAAAGAAAAACACCATCTTGAAGAGTTTAGCTTGTTGTCTTATGCTTGAGAGTGACCTCATTTCATCCTTGAGAGCTTAGGTCACCATATTCACTTGTGTTCAAGCCTTGGGACAAGAAAGAACCAACCTTTAGAGAGAAATGAACAAATTTTGAAGAACTATTTTTGTGCACTTGGTTTGGCAGAAGTGAGAAGTGGATTGGAGACCTTGGGACAAGAAAGAACCAACCTTTAGAGAGAGATGGACAAATTTTGAAGAACTATTTTTGTGCACTTGGTTTGGCAGAAGTGAGAAGTGGATTGGAGACCTTGGAAGTGTTCTCTTTTCTTTGTTTTGAAGCTTTGGGTGCAAACCTCAACTCTTCTCTTTGAGTTTCTTTGAAAAAAATGGATTTTCAACATGTAAAATGAAAGAACTAAGTAACCTTGATGAAAACTAGTATGAATATACATAAAAATGGTAGCTTGAACTTCTGCGAGTGGTAAAAATGAGACCTTGTGGATGAATTTTTAAAAAAACATAGTTATGGAAAAATCACGCAAAATATTATGATATTGGGAAACCAATATCCGAATGTGATATTAGGATATTTCCTCGACAATATCTAGATATTTCATAGGCAGTGAACATAGTTTAGTAAAAATTTGATATCTCGAACTACAAAGCTCCAAATTGAGCGCGGTTTGGACCTGTGTGAAGCTAACATATATGGCTAATTTACTATAAAATTTTGTAGCCATTATATAAGCCAATTTTCCACAGTTTAAGTTGGACGTCGCGACTTGATTGTTGAAAATTCAGTTTGCAGCAATCACTTTGCGAAAAATATAACCAAAATTATACAACTCTAATTGAGACATATAATATGTCGTTGAAAAGATTGAGATGTCTAGTTTAACATATTAAAATTTGAATTTTTGGTAAAGAGTTAGAACACCAATTTTGAAAATGGTAAGAGATGTTTGATGTCATATTCATAAATAGAGTTGATTTCTTTGGAATATTCTTCAAGTAAATGATTTATAGACTCCATTGTGCGTGCAAGTGAGGTCTTTAGGTTATGAGACCTTAGGAAGTGGACTTCGTTTCTCCCATCTTGAGTTGGTGTCCCTACGTAAAGAATGATTACGTAAAAGATAACATTAAAATGAATGTAATAAACGAGTATAATTGTTAATTGCCTTTATATCTTTGAAATAGGTTGTGATTTTGTGAGTGCCTATGATTGTGGTCCTTTGGATACTAAGAGTACATTGGAGTATGTTGCTGATAAAGGTAAGTTTTTGGTCATCGATTTTATCCATTGTTTGTTCCACCAAATCTCATGAGAGGTTGGTTTATGTGCATGATAATATGGTTTTTCTGAAATTATATTTGTTTATAATATGGTTTTTGGATATATTGCTGAACTGGATTCTGTTAAAGTGCAATTGCCATATGTATACAGGGTATTCCACACGAGACGGTAATCCTTGAGTATGTCGGGCCACATATAAGATGGTAAATCTGTGTGTGAGGTACGAGGGGAATCCTTATACTGTAGGTTGTAGACGTGCATAATGTCTACCTTTTGTTCTCTGGCCAGTAGGATGCATGACATATATTGCATTGCACATTTTTACATACTGACTTACACTATTTTTATACTTATATTATACCAATAAGTGAACTTAGGGGGGAGAAATCCTTGAGGACCCATAGTTTATTGAGATTTGTTCAAATCTCATCCCATATTGGGGCACATTTTTCAGGTATTGAGATGTTGATATTGATGCATCTCAAGGCAAGAAGCCAAAGTAGAGATTCTAGCATGAGATGAGACATGCATTGCTGTATTTGATACTCATCCGCGACATGATTATTATTCATCATATTGTGTATGTTTGTATTTGTGAAGAGCATAGAGAGTGTCTACGCCATTTTGATAAGCATGTGTATTTGTATAGATGAAAATGTATAGGTTTATGAGATTTATGTATTTATATTCATTTTGATCATAGGATGTAATGATGTATTGATCATGTTGGTTGTCATTTTGTAATATGATGTGTATGTGAGATAGCCTAAGAAACAGATTGCTAGGTGTCACAATTATGCATGTAATCTTTGTTAAATCCCTTAAGATATGATAACTTATATGCTAAGGGCCCGTTTGGATGAACTTTTTATTCCACCAAAAGATGCTTTTTTAAAGAAAATAAAGCACTTCTCACTTTAAGTTCGTTTGTATGTTTGCTTTTAAAAAAAAAACATAAGTCACAAAAAAGTCAAAAACTTACTTTTTTTTACAAGCTAAAAATTTTAACTTCTAGAAAAAGCAGAAGCCAAAAGCCAAATATTTTTATAAAAATATAAATAGCTTTAACTTTTGTAAAAAGAAC